TTCTTGTTTCAAATTCATTAAAGGATTTTTTGATTTTAAATTAATATCAAGTTTTGAATAAAGAATTATTTTGCTACTGCATAAGATTGACTAATAAAAATTATGATGATAATAATTCAAGTTCCTTTATTTATTAGATTGTTTTTTACACGTAAAATACAATAAATGTTATAGCCCAATCAACCAAAACTCCTATAATAGTAATCAAACAAAAAAAAAACAAAAATAAACTATAACTGAAGAAATTGCCATATTGTATCATCCCATGGGACTAAAATGTCATCTGCAGATTCCTTAATGTCATCATTATCATCTTCAAGAATAGAACTGGGATCTTCACCTTCAGCACTACTATTTGAATTAATTTGATGCAAACTTTCTAGAAGTGATTGAACATGTTTATCAACGCCATCCTTAATAAAATCTAAACAATGTAAGCACTTGGACCCATCTTGGCTAAAACATGTGTTATGATATGCATGGCCACATGGCAGTACCTGCCCTGCTTCTTCAGTGATTATAGTTTTAGTAATAAAACAATTAGAAGAATCACAACCATACAAACTAGGCTTATGTGAAGAGCTATATCCTAAAGGTAGATGACAAAGCCATGCCTCCTTCATCTTCATTGCTGGAATAGGAATACTGTTTCCTGTATTAGCACTTCCTTCCTTCTTACTCCTTTTTAATGGGCGTTTCATAGAAACCCGTGGTGGAATTAAAAATTGAATTTTCTTATGATTAATACGAGTATAGATATCAGTAAAACAATCTAGAAGATAACATGCAGTTTTTCGTGTCAAAGTTTCAATATTCCAAGAAGAATACTGATAAACTGCCCAAGATGAAGTGTGAACAAAGTTTTCCTTAAAGTCATCATCATCAAATCGTAAATAATTGATATTTCATGCTGTTTTTATTATTTGGTCTGCTGTAAGATGTTTCTCTGTACTGCGCCGTAAAAGACTATGAAAGATTTCTACAGGTGAATCAGAGAATTTTGGCAGTTCAGCATTCATTATCTCTAGAATTGAATGACTTTTGGATTGCCAATAAAAAACGTCAGAAAGAAACATTAAAGGTGCTTTAGTATAATTTTTACGATGGAACCTAAGAAAAATAACCCAAACTCAAAAACAAGATTCAATGTAAGAGTTAAAATCACCAGCCCGAAAAAACAAAGCATAAATATCAAGAACCAATGGAATCATGTTATCTAATAGGTCTTTAAGTGCTATGTATTCTACATCTTTACATGCATATCCAAATTTAATTTCAATTATCTTTGAAATTTCTTGCCATGCACTACATGAGAGTTCCAACAGTAAATTTATACGCCATGGTTTTGGTTTTTGAGCAAGTTTTTTCCTGGCACCAAATATATAACTGTACATTCCAGAGAAAAATGGTTGATATTGAAGAAATATTAACTCATGGCTATTCAAAGAGATATGCAATGGTCCCATCATTGGAAGAAATGATAAAACTTTGTTAGTAATTCCAGAAAAGTTACCATAGATAAGACACCGTGATATAGCAGTTCTTAGGAATATTTGACCAGGCCAATCAGCAACAACTGGGATGACATTGCCATCTTCAATATATCTATTTATTGTTGGAACAGATGCTGCAACATTAATAGCATTTATATAAGCTTCCATTGATTGAAGTTTACTCTCCAAGAGATCCACAAGTACAGCATCTTTTAGTGATCTTGTGTTCCTTTTTTCTTTTAAACGAACATCATAGCTATGGACTGTTAATTCTTCAAGCTTTGTTTTATCACTCACAAGGTGAAACCCCCAACGTTGGTTATGAGAAAGTGAATACGTTGACATAAAATTGTTTTCAATTCCAATTTTGATTAGCTGAGCTTCAATTAACGCAGGATTATGAATATCTTCACTTGGTATTGCTGGTTGATTCTTAATTGGGTTAAGTAAAATAGTAGCAAGATGTTCTGCACTTGATGTTGTGGTAGTGTCAGGCATTCTTTTAATGTGTATACTGTGATAATCATCAATATTTAAAACTAGAGCACTATTAGTACTATCTGCAAGATTTGATTCCACAGTTGTCAAATGTTTTTTAGATATAGCATCCTTGTGGTAAGCAATTGAACGAGATGTTATTGTCATACCTAATGTTGCCAAGGTGTCTATCGTTGAATCAGGTGTCCCAGTAGAATCTAAATACATCCCTAGATCTCTTTTTGCATTATTAACAAACTTATTTCTAATACCACAAATAAAATAACATAAAAATACCAACTGTTTTGATACATTTTCCATTGTAGATTTGCTTTTTTTTAACGGGTTGATTGATAAATATAATTCATCAAAAAAATACTTCAGCCGTTTATCTTCTAATTCCATAACTGCACGAAATTCTTCAAATATCCAAATTGGTGGCAATCCTTGATGTTCTCATTCATAGAGAATATCTGTGACTATCCCTACTGCTTGTGAAAAAGTTAAATTATTATTATTATCTTTACTAGAAGTTTCTATATAAATTTCTGGCTCATTATGATGGGACTGTTCTAATGCATGTTGCTGAAATTCGATTGCACTCCTTGTTATGATTCCATTATAACAGTTTAAACAAATTGTATCACCTAGTTGAACATAATTTGGAAAAGTTTTGTTAGTTTGACCTTTGGAAATAACGTGTTCAGTTACCTTTCTCCAGTCAGAAGACTGTCTCTTGCATATAGTAATTGCACATGGCCCTGTAATACTACTAGTAAATGGCATTTTTGTCTTCTAAGTAAAGTATGTCAGGAGTATGATTTTTTTTTGATTCTTTTGCACAGTGAACGTTGGTATTATTTTAAAGGCTTTTGCAATGATTTTTTATTTTTTTTAGTAGTGAAACGTTGCATTCTTAAAAACCTTAAAAAGTACTTTAAACTATATAAATAATATGTGAACTCAATTGAAATTGATCGGCAAAATTAGCCAATCAGACAAACTTCTGCCTATGAGAATGTAATATTAAAATATTAAAACACTAATACGTGAAATTCAGATTAGCCAATCAGAATTTCATATCCAAACATCCCACCCCAAAATTTTAATTATAAACTTCGATTTCACATAGTTTCAATTTCACACACAACAGAATCAAAGACCATATAATATTTTAGCCTAATCCTAAAAAAAAGTCAATAGAAAATTAAAGAGTTGACCCTATAAAAAATTTTTTTACGGAAAGTCCTACAAAATGCAAGGAAATTCGCATTTTTCCTTACATTCTGTAATTT